TTATATATATATATATATATATATATATATATATATATATATATATATATACTACATTGTATTGTTGTGCTTTAGGCTCCATGCTGAAAGTGAGTCCTGGGAGGCGCTGCTGAACAAACATCGATGCAAAGCAGAGGAATTAGAAATGTAATCAAGCTTGCTGCCATTTAAAAATGAATTGCTTATATTGAATTACTGTGTGTTAGTATTGTGTTCTTAATTTGTTTCAATGTGTTCCTTTTTTATAGGAAGGTGGAGAGAGGGCAGGAGATGGGCATATCGATAAGCTCTACATCCATGGCCCAGTCCTCACAGTACCATGTCATACAGAGTAAACCTGACTATAATGGTGTCCTCTGTAGGCAGCGACCCATGATGCGTACTATGGCAATGACTGTATGTTGGAAATTATAATTTTGAGTCATTGTTGAAACTATAATCATAGTTCTAGTTGGAATGTTTCATCAGTTAAACTTTAGCATTCACACAATTGAGATCCTGTTTTTCTTTATTTATTTTTTCCAAGTGTCTTCCATGTGTGTGTGAGTGTGTGTGTGTGGTGGGGGGCGTTGCATTCAACTTGTCCTGCAGTTTTTAAGCTATTTCAGCAATTTAGATATCAAAACAGTCAGCTCGTTCAGGACATGGGTGCTATGACTTGGTATTTATATCTTTTAAACTTTTTGAAATATTCAACTTTTTTAATAGCTCTAGTTTTCTATAGTACTTTCTAAACATCTACAGGGAGTTTGCTTAAATAATTGTATATGGGTGCTATTTATTTATTTACCAAATTTACTTATCAAGAGCTATAAGAGTTGTCACATAAAAATTAATTTAGATGTACAAAAACAACTAGGAAACTACACTTAAATTCCAACCTTGCAAAGAACTGGAAGCTGATGGAAGACCAGTCCTTTTTTTTTTTTTTTTTAAGTCAAGCAAATTTTAAATTGCTACTGGCTAAAGGACTACCATTTCAGAAAGAAGCTCAAACAGAACATACAACATCAAGCACCTTGTCAATATGCTGCTTTCTAAAAGGACATCCATTAAAATTGTGTTTTATATTTTATTTGATTTCAGGAAAAATAATGGATTAAAACATGCACCCCAAATTGTTGATGATTAAGATAAGATTGTACAATAATTGCGCCCCATAGAAAGAGCAGCGCAAAGAAATCACTGAAATTTGTCCTGACGTAACCATTTGTTAATGTGCACAAATGTAACTGGATTTTTGAATTTGCAGAAATCACCACTTTAGTAAAAACTGAAACTGAAATATTTTAAGGGTTCTGTAAAATGCTAAAACGAAAGAAGCACAGCTTGGCAGCGAGAATGATGAGACTCAAAATGAATGTTATGACAGTAATCAAGTTATCACTTCTAGTCAAATTTAGATCAAATAACTTAAAGCAGCATAGCTCTTCTAGCTGCTGGGTGTTTGGCTTTGTTATTGATATTACCATTAGCTTTTTCTGATTGAATCTCGTAGGTGATTGCAATTTGAAAATGAGAACATTTTCATAAGTTTGTTTTTGATCAATGCTCCGCTATGAAAAGACTGGAGTTGTTTAAACCATTATCTTCTGCACTGAATTACTTTTGATCTGCTTTGTTTTTGCCTGCAGATGGACACGCAGTGCAAGATGATAAGACAGCTGCTGTCCATTAAGGAACAATCACAGTTATTTGTGAAAGAGAGCAGTGGCCGATTGGGTAATGATTTTTCTTGTCTTTAATCTTTTCTTTCAAAGTATTTGGAACTTTCAGTAATGGTCTAACAAATTAACTTTAACACTGATTGCTATTTCCTACCAGCTGAAGAGGCAGGATTCCAGGATCTTTCATCGGACCTCAAGAGTCTCATGTCAGCAACTTTACCAGCTACAACTACATAATCTGTGGTCGAATGGGCCACATCTCTGTAGGATTCGAGTCTGAAGCTTGTATGCCTGTGTTTTTACATATTCAGATTTGTTGTTGTTGTTGTTGTTTGGTTGGGGTTTTTTTGGTCTTACTACAGTATTTTTTTGTTTCAGTAAAAATGTCAATGACTGGTATTGCTGGTGAAGATTCTCAGACTGGTATTGCACATGCTAAACCAGCAGGGGGCAGTAGCTGGCTAAAATTAATTGATTAAAGCTTGGAAAATCCAAGTGGATTTTCCAAAAAGCTGTAATCGAGTTCTCACTTGGAAATCTGACACTGTTTAAACCACAAGTCATTAGGAAACGATCAGATGTTTCTGAAACTTTGCTGGCATCTTCAAAGATTTCTTGTTGGTTGTTCATAAATTTTTTTTATTTTTTATTTTTGTGAACGAATAACCCAATCTGGTGGTTGGTATCAGACATCAAAACTGATTTTGGCTACATAGAAATAAATTAAGTTGTGGGATGTATTTGACACAGTGTGGACAGTTACTTTTTAAAATAAATATCCTAAGCAGTACATTTTAAAAAGATCTGAGGTCAAAATTTAAAACCACTTAAGTTATGCAAACCTTTTAACATTTTTATTGTAAAATTGGCTTGCACATTAAAGAAAACAGTAACGATTCTAAATGTCTTTTTAGTTTTCCATACGTACACAAAACTTGGTCTTCACACTCGGTCACATTTACTTCCTTTAGGTGCTGCATCCATTGCACTTCATCAGTGTCCCTTGACCATACAAGAGGAAGCCCCTCCCCCACAGTGACTCTCCCCCCCATCTCATGCTTGGCTTGGTTACTGATGCAGAACGAAGCTTTGACATTGTACCAGTCAGTCAAAGCTTATTTGCTATTGCTTACAATTTTGAACCTATTCACTCAATTACGCTTACACTTCATCCATGCCTTCATCTCTTGTTTTTCCCTTTCAGCACATGAGTCAACAACTTTATCTGCTATCCATTTATGATCATCAATGTGATATATGGTCAATTTTACATACTGTTGTATTCAGTGAAGTGAGTAGAGAGCAAAAGGACAAGCCAAGAGAAGACGTGTGGGGTTGTGACCATGAGAGTTGCAAGTAAGGGAAGATGGTGCACACCAGGAGAGATCGATTCTTATTTAGATGAAAATGAGGCTTGATGCTTGTGAGGTGAGAGGAGGGCAACTTTGGCATCTAAATGAGAAGAGGTTTCACAGAAATTATCCTGAAATGGATCACCAACAAGAAAACAAAAAGTTGACAAAGTCATTGACAGGCTTATTTAAAGCATGATCGTCCCTGACAGTGCTAGGAAATTACTTTAGGGACTGCACATTTAAAATGTCCAAGTAAAGTTGCCTTGTAGTATGCAAGATATTTTAAATAATATGGGCTTAATGGATGCAAAGGTACTAAATAATGTGGTTATGGCATGGCCAGCTTTTAAAAGGTATAATGCACTTGGTTAATAAGCAAGGGTTAAATCGTTGAAAGCTTGATCTGTGACCTGTGGTGTATGCATGTGCATAGAGCAATCACTTTTTACTGTATTTGCTACTCTTGTCTCCAACTTTAGATTGATTAGTTACACATTGTAGTAGATGGATCGTCGGAGAGTCAGCATAAACCACTGCCAGTTTGGTCATACTCCCTCGTGCACACTCATCATCTCCTCTCAGTATAGCAGGGCTTGCTGCTGCTTTCCTCCACAACCATTCAGACAGCCATTCGTCTCGAAAAGCTGTCTCTGTGATCTGAGTGATAAACAATACCAGAATTGCCTAGTTTGCAAAAAAACAAAGACACTTGTTTTCAATCTTCTGTCAACGTTTTCATACTGAAAACTGATGGGATGTTTCATTCATCAAGGCGTTGGACAGAATGATATTCTAAACCTGGGCTGTTTGGGACTGAATGTTGTACTTGAAATTTTCACATTTTGCTCACATCTATTTGTACACAACTTGTACAGTGTTTGGCAAACACGTTCTAGTTTATATATATATATAAATATATTTTGTATACTTTCATGTGCAGGGCAATATTGTGGCTTTGCAACTTAAAAGCAGATATTAAGGTTTATATTCTACTTCCAAACCACACATCATTCCACAAAGGCTGTAAAAACATTGCACAATATTCCAGTTGTGTGTACATCTGGCTACGAACACATCCCTTTAAATGTTCATTAAAAACTACACAAGTCTTCTATTAGACGTAACAGCCTTCACTTTGAAGTTTTGCTTAAGAAATGCAGCAGTGGCATCTGGAACTCTGGATTCATGCTAATGCTAACAATTAAAACTTAACCTCAATATTAAGCTTTAGCGGCTGTCATTCTTAGAGCAGTTTGTTCATTTATCCACCCCCCACCAGCTCGTGCTGTGTAGTACTATGAGCATTAATGGTCAAAGGGAGCCACACCGCTCGCGCTGAGGAACATCTCACATACTCGCGCGACATCAACAACAATGGCAAACCGTTTTCTGTTTTGGTAGATTTCTGATTAGAGCTGCACGGCCCGAAATTTAATATAGTTGCACCTAATTTAATTCCTGAATTGGCACGTTACATTTTAATACGCGTTACGATCGTGATCGCATTTATCGTTGGGCTCTTTCTTTTTTTTTTCCTTGGAAAATGTGCGAGTCGCTCTCTCGGTCTGCATGTGTGTCCCTGCCGCTTTTCTGCTGGGCTGCTAACCTAGCTGCTTTTCAGACGGTGGTTAGCCAGCGTTAGCCTCGCTGCGCTCATCGACTAGTAAAAAGAAGAAACAAAGACGAATGTAAAGCTTGATTTCTACAAATAGATTTATGCTATTCGACCCAAACTAATCGCCGATTGCCGCTGTTGTGTACAAAAAGAAGTGTTTTATGATTTGTCGTGGAAAACACTTTGCTGGCTAGCTGAAAGGCTAGCTGATTGTATTCTTCGACTGAGGAAAACGGCGAGTTTTCTTTAAAAGTATGGATGATCAGACTAGGATGCTGACGGGTCTCGCCGGACTCAGTGGACTAACACAGGCCGATGTAGGTGACCCAGACTCGGTCAGGAAACAACAATCCCTCGGTCAACCGCAACAAGACATCGGGGATATTCTACAGCAAATAATGGCCATCACCGACGAAAGCTTGGACGAGGCACAGGCCAGGTAAGACATTCGAAAAGCCCTTTTCTCCTGCACATGATTGCTAAGCTAACACGTCTCATGTTTGGGTTCAGATCAGACTTTAGTGTTAGACGTTAAAATAAGGCACTTGCAACAATAGCGTAACGTTGCAAATGCTATAATTTGCAGCCAAACGTCAGTGAGCAATTTGTACCAAAATATTTTTGATATCCACTGAGTGATGATTTGTTTAAAGAATTATCTATACAAAGCGTATTTGCCGTCGTTTGTGAATTAGTTTTTAATAAAGTGATTTGGCTTCCTTATTTGGTTTTATCAGTAACAAGCTAAAAAAAGTTTCCACTCGTATGTGTGACTCTCAGTGAGTTGTAGTTGAAGAAAATCTACAAAATTATTTTGCCATACACCTGCATGGATCTTTGACTAAATAGTATTAGTTTCAAACATAGTTTAAAAACAAAACTACAGGGTAGATCACGTTTAGAAAAGGCCACTTCAGTACTTGAAAAAGCATTATTTGTACAAGGTCTGTAAGTAATGTTGTCAACTGTCTTCATGCTAAAATGACAAGTTTTTACACGCATATATATTCATACACACATCCATGCATACACAGACACACATACTTAAGGGCAGGTTTAAGTCCCTCAGGGCCCCCTAGGCACAAACACTCAGTCCCCCCACACATACCATACCATGCCAAGCCATTTTGCACTGCTGGATTCTCCTCAACAAACCCAGTCAAGTTTATTTTGTTTGATCACTGTTTAACATTTAATTAGCCAATAAAATTCAGTGTTGCATGCTATTTTTAAACTCAGATTGGACAATGACTTTAAGCATCCGTTATATTTTTCGCACTCAATACAAAGGCCCCCCTTTGCACCTTTGCATCAGGCACATGCCCAAGTTACCCTTATCATGGTATATCTGTCACACACACATGTATGCATGTATGTATGTATGTGTGTATATGTATGCGAGTATATAATGCATGTGTGCGTTTATGCAGTGATGGACACTACTGCTAATAGAACAGGGCTTTCACTAACTTTGGAATCTGTTAGCAGAATTAGCTTCTGCTAAATGAGGTTTGGCCAACATTAAGTCCGCTAACAAAATTCACAAGCTTGTTTCTGTCTGTTGTGGGCGCGTCTCGAAGAGTCCGCTATGCACGGTATTGGCATACCAGGTGTCCATGTGACAAGACGTGATTGGTTGACAGAGCTTCAACTGGAAGGAAACAAAAACGTGATGCAGACTGAGTGACGGTCATCTTAGCGGTTTAGCTATAGCTTCTGCTAATTTGCTTAACCTGTTTATTAAATTAGCATTAGCAAAGTTAATGTTTTAGTTTGCAGAATATGGGTTAGCGAAGATAACGTTTTAGTTAAGTGTGCCCACCACTGTGTATATATGCATGCGTGTGTGTGTGCATATATATATATATATATATATATATATATATATACAGACATACATACAGACAAACTTGAGATATCAAAGTGCGGATGATTGGAAAACATGGAAAAGGTTAAGGATATTCCGCCCTAAATAAAAGTTGAGTATTTAATGTGTTAATTATGCATGTGTGACTCATAATGTTTGTTTTAGAAGTGTCTCACTTATCATAGGCGGCTTGCATTCTGCTGTGGGACTAACTCACACTCATTTGCCATGTGGCTGAAGGAGCACAGGGTCAGTTTCAAATGAAGCGTCAGTATTTCAACAATAGACAACCGTCCACTGCAAGACTCTGGCCACAGTGTGATGTGTCATTAGCTAGTGATTTTCCACCCAACATTTGACCACCTGGTTCTCTTAATTAATTCACTCCTTTCACTCCCTCCCTCTCTGGTGTTCATCCTTTTCATTGTGTGCTGGGTGCAATCAATTCTCCTATAATGTGTACGCGAGTGCAGCTGTCCGCAAATCGAGTTTCTATTAATGAGATGAGGGGGAGGGATGATGCTATACCAGCAGCCTATGAACATGGAGATATTGCACTTTCTTGACTACTAGTTTGTAGACTTAACCACATGCCTCATTTTATGGCAGAATTAACAACGCTTAAAATATTTGTTGCTCATGTTTCATTCATCTTGGCTATTTTATTTTCTATATTTAAGTTGTGATTTATGCAAAAGTTGAACTGGTTAATATAAATCATGCTTCTTTTCAAGTTAATGATAGAGTTACAGTATAGAAAGTTATGATTTTGTGAAATGTGATGATTATTTTATTGTATGCTAAAGGTATGTTCCCATATTAATAATGTTCTTCCTTAGACACTTAAGTACTAAAAATGACCCCTTATACTGAAATGTAGTTGTTGTATTTACATTAATGATCTTACCACCTTAATGGCTTTTTGATTTAATTGTGCATTTGTTTGTGTTTGTGTTTACTTTCCATGTTTACTTCAGCTAAAATACCCTGAGTATATGTGGTACTACTAAACATAGAATGTTGTTACAAGCCCGTATGTGATAATAAATAGTAGCCACAGCTACTAGTAATAAATACTTGTTAATATGACCTGATATTGCAGTCCTTGTTTTCATTTTTCACTCTAACCATGTTTGACATCTATATGCCAATTGTTCCTGTGACCATGCCAAACAAATCGGTGTTGAAGTGTCATACATGGTAGCATGATCTCCCTTTTTTCTGTCGAGTGGCAGTGTTTTAGGATGGGGAGTGTCCAGTAGCCCAATAACTTTATGTGCTAGAGTACACTTCCTATTCACCATCCTCATCCTCTCACCCTGTCATTATATGTTGAAATACTGGCCAGAGAAATCATTAATAAACTGAGTTGTATGACTGCCATTCAAGTTCTAGCACATGTTAGTACTCTACGCATGTCCATCCTACTATCCCTTCTGCCATCTTGAACAATAAATTCCTCAATACTAGATCTTTCTTTAAACATTGATCTGAAGTTTAAAAATGACATCAGACATATTACAAAATTGGCTTTTTATCATTTTAAAATAATTTAAGTTAAAATGCTAACCGTATTTTTTGCCCTATAAGTCGCAGTTTTTTGCATAATTTGCATGCGACTTATACGCTGAAACGATGTATTTATGGATTTTTTCCCCATATTTATAAACCAATTTTTGGCTGAGATATGACCGTTTTCATTCATTCTGACTAAACAAAATTTAACACTACCATTTTCAGCCGCTAGATGGCACTCGAGTATTATGGCTTGCCGTTGTATCATGTAATAGGTAAAAGTGGCTATTGATGACACAATCGGCTTGCCATGGCCTGCCACCGTAGTCTGCCGGGAACAACCAAATCGGCTTAATTTCGCTGCGCTGCCTCGGTGAAATGCAACTGATTTGACTGTCAAAGTGCATTTATTAAGTAAAAGTTCAACTGAAACACACCTTTACTATAATTTCGAGCAAACAAATAATTTTTTTTAAGTGTTAATCTTGTTAAATTCTTAAAGTTCTCCCGTGCACGCTCTCGCGGCCGCCATTTGGCAGCTCATTGATTTTTGACACAACACCGGTCCACATTTTCGGGTTGTTAGCGGTGACGCGTAACAAACGCAATGCGTCAGCGATGACTCATAGTAGATGCGACGTATACGGCGTAGCGACATATTTATGGATTTTTCCACTTTATTAGACATATTTGGACAGTTGCGACTTATAGGGCGGTGCGACCTGTACGGCAAAAAATACAGTATATCAAAATCTGACTTAAAACCTTAACTCACACTTTTATAGCAAAGTAGATTGGACTATTGCCCTTCTACAGGCCTCTCAAAACTTGGTGTACCTAATTACAGCTGATCCAAAATTCTGCAGCTTGTATTGTCTGTTATGTGCCAGTCAGATCACTCAGGTCAGCAGACTGTCCTAACTTAGCCAAAACTTGTACTACTTCCAAACTGAGGAAGCCACTTTGCTTTTGTTTTTTTTGCTACAATGAATTGTAATACATTGCCTCTACATGTGAGAGAAGTTCCCAATGTAAATATTTCAAGGTAAAAAACGTTCTACATGTAAAAGGACATGATTCATGTTTTATGCTTTTGTATTAGCACTCTGCTCTTGCTTCAAAGTGTTTATTTTGTTGCTGGAAAGTAAAGTGTGGTTGCAAAGCATGAAATGTGCTATACTAATAAAGTTTGGCTTGACTTTGGTATGTCTTGTAGGTGCACAATAATTATGGGGATGATTAACATTAATTCAGGTAAATTTTTAGTTTTACCTCTAATTTGTGTTTTTTAAGTAACAAGTGGCATTATTTTTACTTTTTTTTTTATACCTTAACTTTTTTATTGCCTTTTTTTTTCTTCAAATTTTATATCAGAAATGTCATTAGCAAAGCATGTATGGTATATTTTCAAAAAGCATTTGAAAACCCTGTCTTTTGTATATTTTGGTTTATTATAGAATTAAAATACAAAATCTCGAATTCTCTTGATCGTTGAAACAAACAAACATAACTCAAAATTTGATGCAGTGTTCGACAACATTATAACGGTATAGCAAGTATTTGTCAAGTTTCTAAGTACAATTTGAGTACATTGAAGAGGAGCCAGTTCACTCTTAAAACCTGTTTGTATCACCTCACATGACAGCCCCTTCGTCTGACTGCATCAAGGTTTATATTTATACCTACTAGTACAGAATAACTGATTCAACAACAGTTAATTAGGAGTACTGCACTTTTTATTTTATTCTGTAGCCTACTTGAAAATCTGATAAAAAACACCTGTTAGTATTAGAACATATTAGTATTTGCCCCCCCCCCCCCCAAAAAAAAAATATAAAAATAAAAATTTGGACTGAAACTTGAGACAAGGGATTAAAATAGGCTGTAACTGAATGAAGATCAAATTACAAAAATTATTCACACCAATATTGTTCATTTTTTAAAACTTTACTGGTTCTGTAAAGCACAATCTTTCACTTGTTCAGTGTCTTTAAGTATGTGTCTTACATTCTGTATAGAGCACTTTTTACATAACACACATAAGCATATCAGTCAATGGTGTTGCGCCCAAGGACGCATCAGCACACTGCAAGTGCTGTGGATTAACCCGTCTGAGTCGACCTCCCTACCCACTATGCCAAGCCATCTTAAACAATGACACGGTTTATTTCTTGACTCATTTTTTCCAGGAATCTAATATGGAATATAATATGTGGAGGTTTAATTTGTACTTCAGCTTAAATTTGATTGATTGAAGGCTCTCTGACCTGAGAAGTCAGATCAGCTGTTGGATCCTTCTCATCAAATCTGAACTCTTTTTAAAATCCATAATGCATCTAATAACTTTATTAAAGAAAATCAACCAGCACTGCCGAGTTAACAGAGGGTGGATGCATAATTTTTGCTGCTTTCAGTTCTTATTCAGGTAGAAAAAAGGTAAAAGAAAAAACTCCATCAAGAGTAGTGGAAAATAGCAAGGCTAAGATATTTTGGGACTTCAGATTCAGGCAGACAAACACATGATTGCTAACTAACCAGGCACTGTAGTAGTCAACAAGCTAGAGAAAAAGGCGGTGGTAATAAACTTGGCAATCTAAAGTGACTGCAACATAAAGATGAAGGAGCATGAGAAGTTTCAGAAATACCAAGGTTGAAAGAGGAACTAGAGCAGATGTGGGGAGTCAAAACATCACTGATGCTAGTGGTCATTGGAGCACTCAAACTGGAAAAGTGATCACAGCAGATCCCAGAAACAACCTTAGAGATGTCCAAGAAACAACTAAAATATTCCGCTGAACTCTCAAACAGGGAGTTTTGGGGGTTCTGCTAGATCAAAACAGCTATTGAGTCCTATAAGTTGTTTTCGTGGCCCTGTGATGGACTTGCTACCTGTCCAGGGTGTACATCGCCTCTCACACAGTCACTGCAGGAGACCAGCTCATCATGCGACTTGGAAAAGAAAAAGTCAAGAATATGGATGGGCTGTTTGCTTCAATATATATCGTATTTTCTGCCGTACATGTCGCACCGCCCTATAAGTTGCATCAGTCCAAATATGTCTAATAAAGTGGAATAATCCATAAATATGTCGCTTCACCGTATATGTTGCGTCTATTATGCGTCACCTCTGACGCTCCACGTTTGTTCTGCGTCACCTCTGACAACCCGGAAATGTGGGCCGAAGCCGGAAATGTGGGCCGGTGTTGTGCAAAAAAATCAATGGGTTGCCAAATGGCGGCCGCGTGAGCATGCAAGAGAGGACTTTAACAAGAATTTAACAAGATTAACACTTAAAAACATTTATTTGTTTACTTCAAATTATATTAGGTTTCAGTTTAGCTTTTGCTTAATAAATGCACTTTGACGGTCAACTCGGCTGCATTTCAAAACTCTATTCGCAGAAACGGGCATGCGCAGAGGGCTACTCACTGTTCATTTCTTTGAAATTTAACTCGATAACCACCTAAAAACAATTATTTGTTAGCTCGACTTTATAGTAAAGGTGTGTCTCAGTTGAACTTTTACTTAATAAATGCACTTTGACGGTCAAATCAGCTGCATTTTGTCGGGGCAGTTCAACAAAATGAAGCTGATTTGGTTGTTCCAGGCAGACGTCGGTGGCAGGCTGTGGCAAGCTGATTGTGTCATTAATAGCCACTTTTAACTATTACACGATACAACGGCATGCCCTACTACTCGAGTGCCATCTACTGGCTGAAAATGGTAGTGTTCAGTTTTTTTCAGTCAGATTAAATGAAAATGGTCATATCTCAGCCAAAAATTGGTTTATAAATATAGAGAAAAAGTCAATAAATACGTTGTGTTGGCGCGTAAGTCGCAGAGCATGCAAATTTGCAAAAAACTGCAACTTATAAGCTGAAAAATACGGTAGTTCCCATACGTCAACCGGAAGTGCAAAACACGACTTTTCCATCATTATAGTACTCAAGCATGGTCAAGATGCTTTCAGATAAACCAAAACGGTGTATTGATACTCTTGACTAATGTGCAAGAGAAAGACACATCCAAAAAATTGCTGCTGTTGGGATTGACCCGTATGAAGCATGAAAAGAACGTCATACGACTCAGACAAGTTGCCTCCGATCTCTTATTATAACATAGTTGATTATTTATTCAACACAATGAGTGCCTACACAATGGAGGAGCTTCGCAGCCTGAAATCCATGGACGCATATCAATGTTTTAACTGCTTTGTGAAGGATGTCTGAACTGAGAGCTACCTTGTTAAATAAAGGTATAAATAAATACAAATATTACCATGCAATCTCTTAACAGAATGACCCCAGGCTAGAACCCAGAACGTTCATGCTGTGAGACAACAGTGCTAACCACTAAGTCATCGTGATGCCAATAACACATTAACACTAAAGACTAGGACATTTTTCATGAAATTTTGAGGTGTGCCAATGCAACTAATGTTTAAAATTACAACATAGGTATGCATCTATGTAGGCAGAGCAAGTGTTTACAGTGTGGAGGTTTAGTACATAGTGTAGCTGAGCTAACTACAGTAGAGATGTTCTAAATCATGAAAAGAGTATTTTCAGCACACATACAGTTGTATTCTGACATTGTTTAACAAAATGACTGATATAGAATTTCTTGTTTACCGGATAAAAGTGATCGGAACAGATTCTAGATGTTTTTGAAAGCTGATCCTTGCGGTTGATGTTTCCGAGCCAGACTCACCGACGCTCTGCACTCAACTCCTCCGTTTGAGGTCCTTTGCATTTCCTTATTTTTGGGATGAAGTGAAAACTGCGCTTTGCCAAATTGTCTGCCCGGTTGGAACATCCTCTGACCCAACATGAAACAACCATTTTGATGTATGTAAAAAAAAAAAAAAGAAAATACTCCTTGATGGTCAAACTTAAGCCTTGACTGGAGCTATTGCATGCCTACTGAAATGGTGGTTTGCAACAAGGTGCTGGGTGTGCTGCATCACATGAGAACTATGTATTGTTCATATTCCTCTGACTGCAGTTCAGTTATTCAGGGTACATGGTAAATGGACTTGTATAGCAACTTTCCATCTGATCAAGATACTCAAAACACTTTACACTCCAATCTGTGCCCTCATTCATACAGCACTACTATATCTACAAAGAATAATCAGTGCTTTGGATCACATTCATACACCGATGGGGGACACATCTGAGGCAATGAGGGGTTCAATTTCTTGCCCAGGGACACTTCAGCATGTGATTGCTGGTGGAATCAAACCCCCAATTTTTGCATTGGAGGACAATTGTTCTAACCACTCAGCCACAGCTGCCCCACAAAACAAACAAACAAACAAAAAAACACTTCAAGTGATTTTAAAATTTTATTTTGTAGCATTAATGATTTTTCTATGCTCGCTGTTCACAGCATACTATATTTGGACTGACATGGCTCCCAGTCAATAGTAGTTTGTTGTGATACAAAGGAGAAGTTCCACTTTGTAGTCAGCCCTTAAAAGGATTTGGTTTTTGCTCGCGTATTGACCATCCATGTCTTTTTCTTTAGAATTTATGGTTTGGAGCACGTTCCATGTCCGGTTCCTGTTTCTGGTGTATTTTTGTGGCAGCATTACTACAAGTTTTTGAGTTGTTTTTATGTGGATGAAACCATTCATTCATCCATTATCTTTACCCGCTTATTCCATTTTGGTTCACAGGGGTCACCAGTGCCCATGTCCGGCAATCATTGTGCAAGTGGCGTGGTACATCCTGGACAGGTCGCAAGTCCATCACAGGTCCACATAGAGACAAACAATCATTCACTTTCTCACTCACATCTAGGGACACTTTAGAGTTACCAATCAGCCTAACATGCATGTTGTTGGTATGTGGGAGGAAACCGGAGTACCCAGAGAAAACACACGCATGCACGGAGAGAACATGCAAACTCCTCCCAGAAAGGCCCCTGGACCGGGATTTGAACCAAGGACCTGCGCGCTGAGAGGCAACAGCTCTACCAGTTGCGCCACCGTGCTGCCCATTACATCTTAATCCAAATAGTTTTGTCTATCACCAATACCATCCATTCTTATGCAGTCAGTTTATTTAAGAGGTTGAAATTAGATAATTTGTATTGCCACATAAATTAAATTGTCCGTAATAATGACCTTGAGGTTGGGCATTATTACTTGTTCCATCATGCAAAACATTAAAATGGCATTACTCTTCTTAGTGTGGAATGTTGCTTTAAGGATGTTCCTGTGCTGATAAAGGCATCTGCTCATTCAAAATACCTCTAAACATCATGGCTCTGCTGTGTTTTTTGGCATTACACACTTTAGAAATGATGTATGCATAGTACATACACATCTTTTACCGGTTTTATGGGTTAAGCACTTCAAATGAGATAAAAATCGGTTTATTCTCATCTTCCCTACTTTCTCTCATTCCCTCTTTTTTCTTACAGAAAACATGCCCTGAACTGTCACAGAATGAAACCAGCACTCTTCAGCGTTCTCTGTGAGATCAAAGAGAAGACAGGTAAGATTTTACTTCACTCTATACTCCAGTGTGAGCAAGTTGTAACTAACTGGTGTGATAGAATGCCTTTGCTCCAGGTTCTTTTAGTGTTTATTTTTCAGAATTTTCTCTCATGGAACTAACTTGATTAAAGATTGCTTGTCTTTATTAATGATTTTTTATTATTTGTGTATTCTTTAGTTTAAAATCACTCTAAATATTTACAAGTTATTTCTGGGTATTGTCCAGATTAACCAAATTTAACCAGTCATCACCTTTTAGAAACTTGAATCTGACAACTGAACTCGCAAACAACTCAGAATTTACTTACTATATCATTGGAGTTTTGTTTCACAATTTGTTCTGAATTACTTAAATACAGAGTATGTGTGTGATTGTACATTTTGTCATTTTCTCTTTCAAATGATTAACTGGTAGTAATTTTTCAGTATGTATGAATGAACAGAATTTAGCAAATAACTAAGTTAGTATATCATTCTGCAACTGTTAAACAAACTTGACCAAAGGGTAGATTATTTTGGGGAGTAAATTGCCATAGAATAAGATCTGTAACCTGTAAATATCAAACTTCAATACACACAATCTATTCAAAACTGACTTGGGACTAGAAAGTCGCAGGTTCAACTTCCCGCCATGCTCACATGTTGTGGTGTCCTTGCGAAAGACACCCAATTCCTCCTCCCTGGGTGCTTACATAGCCGCCCACTGCTCCACCTTGGTGTATCTCACATGTGATGGGTTAAATGCAGAGAACTAATTTCGTCATTGTATGGGAACATACAATGATGACAACACATAAGCACTCTATTTATTATTATTATTATTATTATTATTATTATTACTATTTAAGTCAGCTTACCAATAAATGTTAACTAAAACCAGTTATGATTTCAGTTTTATGGTAGTATAAATGGGGTGCTTTTGTTTGTTTTTGTATTTTTTTCTACAATCATGTCAACTTTCTTGTGTTCTGTTTCTTTTCCTTCCACTGTCCTGAAGTATTTTATAACAGTAAGCCTCCCTTGTTCAAATACAATTTGAAAATGCTGCACTGCTGCCTATTGTGGCCTTCTGTCAATAATGTATTATTGCTCTCCAGTGATTGGAGAAAAGTAAAGGCTAGGCTTGAGAGAATGGGGCAGGGTATACTGTTTCCCAGGCAACCAGTGGTCTTATTTACCCTAATGCCATTCACTTTGATTTTCACATTTAGTCTTCCAACAAACAAGATAGAAAAAATGTGAGTACTTGTACTGTAACCATTTAAGAAAAGCTGACAAAAATGGGGTTCAATATATAATGTATATTCATACTTCATGCAAGTATTGCAACCACGCTTTGCTTGTACTCTGCTGGCCATCTGCCATACAGTTCCCTAACTGCACTGTGTACCTGCTTTGGTATTTCACTGCCCCCCACCCCCACCGCGGGCCCCATTGTCTATCTCTGCAATGTGAAATAACTTATCTTCATTGTGGCTTGTGGAAAACCAGTCAGTAGACCTATAGTATCTCCACAGATTTTATGAAGTATTTCGTCACTAACAAACATGAACTTGTGTTGGCATCAACACATGCATAATATGTCTTCCTTGAACATGTACGCACAGAGGCATGCACACACATACACAAACAGGGATAAAAGCAAACTCTGTCTTGGGTCTACTCCTACTGCCTCAGTCTTGTCCTCTCCCC